ATATATATATATATATATATATATATATATATATATATATATATATATTTTTTGCATTGAAAGTTTAAATATATTTAAAGACCAAAACAATAAGAATATTCAGGATTAAGTACTTTTAAGTACTTTTACTTTAAGCGCGTTAATACAAAAGTTCATCGTACCAAGGTCGTGCCTCTTGTTGTTTGCGTATTACGTAATGATCAGTTTTAATAAAGATTCCCGGCGTGCAGGCGTTCAGAAAGCATTGGCGTGGGAGAGAAATAATCGAGCCGTGTCGAACTTGCTCATTGCCGCGATTACCTATATATTACTCTCTAGGCGAGGGTCGCGTCAAAATAATGTCGCGATTCAAGGCAATGTACTAAGTATATCCCGAGTCGGTACTGGCAATCGATTATCCCACAAGTAGGGACGCCTGGCGCGGTGTGAAATTTGGCTGAACGCAAATACATCGAGCAGCCGACCATCCAACGATTGGGAGTTTTGTGGTATTTAACATTTGCATAAAAAAAACGCTGTTGCAACAATAGAATCGATCAACAGTGCCACAATTGAAGTAAAATCTTCTGGATCCAGCAGCAATATATAATTGAAACTAATGCGTCATACATTGGCTTAACTCGCGTGTTGGTTTTAACTCAATTTATCATCTCAAATGAATTAACTTTCAGCTTAAACTAATTGCTTATGCAATTGTTTACGCAATCGATTATCGTAAACGCATTAACCTAAATTTATCAACTTTTTCTAAAAATATAAGCCATGAATAATAGAACATAATAACATAAGAATGTCTCAACGATATTTCTGTTATTGATTTAATCTAATTGTGACTGTCGATCAATATTCTATCGAATTGAATTAAATTCTATTAATTTAATTCTAATTTAATTAAATTGTATCGAATTTTTTTCTGTGTATGTACAGATTGTATTATTGCAAGTTCATGAATTCAAGCGTTTCGTTACTGCACGGACAGAATAAAATTCTGATGTATCACATTCCTTCCAGCATTTCTCGCTAAAACTGTTCCACGATGAGAGGCGTGATGTTTATTCGCCCGCTGCTAATCCACGTTATAAACGCACTTGTCTAAACTTGTATTTGACCGAAATCAAGTCATAAAAACAAAGTCATAAAAACAAAGTCATAAAACAAAGTATCGTCCTAGTATTATCGCTACGCACGTTATCCGCGCTTAACGCGGGTGATAAGCAGCTCATTATAGGAGGAAGTCCAACTTAATAGATCATTCTCTCTTGTATATTGCCGATCAACTGCATAACCACCGGCTCCTCTGACACTCCAATGAATCGTTCTGCACTCCGCGAGATTGCGTGTCTCATTACAATGAAATATTCAGCGGAAAACAACTCCAGTAACATAATTCATCGATATGCTGCCGGAACAAGTTCTATTTAAGCAGTGAAGAAAAGAAAAAGATCCACGTGTCATAACAGATGGTCTGTCCTTTTCAGCTGCACTGCTGCACTGCAATAAGTTAAAGTGAGACAAGTATATGTTTTCTCACTCTAACTTATTGCACCAGTTCAGCAGTGCAGCTGAAAAGAACAGATCAAGAGTAAACACGTATAATGCAGAATATTATTGTATCGATCCACAATCACGCATGTGGCGGTTGCGATAGAATTTCAAAACATCCAGCGCGAAAATGAAATAAAAAAGAAATAAATTTCGAGCAAGACACGCAGCGAATTCAAGTGGCGAATATATCTTGAATTAAATCCAAATGTCCACTAGTTTTTTCACTTAAATTCGGAGTCACAAATGCGCAATCGCTCGTGACAAGAGCGATAGGCTACTCCAAAAAACTATTCAAAAGCAAACAAATGTTCGTACGAAGGAACTCTGGGCTGAAATCTGACTCAAAACGTGATATTTCCCTCGAAAGAATGGTTCCAGCATTCTTGGACGCGAATGTGTTGGATCATGCGTCAGCAAGTTCACAGTTAAAACCCGATTGCGCCAATATATATTAGATTGCTGAAATGACTCGCTACACTCGCTGTCTTTTTCACAGTATAATCTGTAACACAGGCAAGGAGAAAGAGGAGGAAAGGAGGAGAAACAGATTAGGTCAGTTAGGACGCGGTTAAGGCAGTAGTAGATCTAACAGCCCAAGTAGAACAGAAAATCACGATGACAACAAAGTGACGAGAAAATGATCGAGTCAAAAATGATTGAAAAGTAGCTTTGTAGTCGCTATCTCATCATTTTGACGTCACCGTTATTACTTGCTCTGCCTAGGACAGGGCGGCGGATCAATCGGGCAGGAGGACAGATCTCGTCGCAGCAGCCTCCCTACTCTCTCTCTCTTTCTCTGTCTCGACGTGGAAACGAGGGAAACGCCGCAAGCGTGGCACCGTGGTGTGTCATCGATTACCTGAGTCAAGTTCGGCCTGCTCGATGGCTTCGTCGGCGGTTTTCAGCCAGCAGGGCCCCTTGTCCGGGATCGGCATAGACGGCTCATTCACATACGTGAAGTAGGTCTTCCTCGTGGCGTGCTGGATACACGGCCGCGACGCGGACGTCATCGTCGCAAGCGCCCGGGTCAGGCTGGTGATACGTTTGAGGGCCGCCATGCTACGAATGCCGACTGCCAACGTTCACGATCGTCACGTCGTTTCCCTGTTCGTCTATCTGGCGCGCACACTGACACGACTGACTCGGCAGCGATCGCGCCAGGAAACGTTTGCGACACTCGTAGATTATGCCGCCGAGCAACCCCCGCGCTCTCTGCGCCGCACTGTCAACGTTCAGTGTGAACGTAGCGCCGCGTGACGTCGGCGCGCGCCTAACGTCACGGTGGCGCGTCGCGCCGCACTGTTCGCGTTGCACGCGTCTCCTGCGCTCTTTTTTCACGCCTTTTTGGCCCATATTCTTAATCCTCTTTTATCTATAAAAGAGGCTTAGAAGCCACCTGTCTGGCTGATAAGCTATATTCAAGATATTTTTATCGATAAAAGAGGGTTCAGAATAGGGAGTTTTTGAAAACATACGGTAAACGCTAAAATGACGTCATCGAGTCAAAAGGCCAAACTGCGCATGCGCATCGATCACCTTAACGCTATTCGGATAACGTGCGAACGTTATTTCTGAAAAATAACGTTCACGAGTAACGTCGACATTATAGCTACCAAAGGCGCTTTTTCGTGACCACGACCGTTTGGTTGGTTGGTTTGGTCCACTTAACACTCACAACGCCTCGAGCAACAAAGATAGATTGAGTTCGCGGCGTTGAGAGCGTTAAGTGGACCAAACTAACCAACCAAATTCTACCGTGGTGACAAAACGAAAAAACGCCTCAAAATGAAATCTGAACGATTGAAATTCACAAGTCAAGATGATCTCATACTTTTAAGGGAGGTTATATTCCAAAATCCATATGAAAAGAGAATGAAAAATGGAAAACGATTGCAGGTCGTATAGGATACTATTTTATCATACGTTACCGTAGCATTCACCGTGCAAAAACTCTTTTGAAGTGACATAAAAACGAAATATGATATGAAATCACGTGACTTCAGCGTTTACCGTATCTAAAATACATAATTGCAAAAACTCCTTAATATAGGCCTTTGGCTCATATTCTAAGTTCTCTTTTAACGATAAATAAGCCTCTAAAAAAGTCTTAGAAGCCACCTGATTGGCTGACAAGCTACATTTAAGGCACTTTTATCAATAAAAGAGGATTCAGAATATTTGTGTATATATTTTATATATTCAGTTTTTGTGTATATATTTAGAAAGATTACCAAAGATTACTACACTAATTGATTATCATTAATATTTTAATAAAAAGATAATAAAAAAGATAGTTTTATTGTTTTATGAAAAATAAATAATCATTATTAAACGTGTAATATATAACACATCTTTACATATTTATAAAGGTCCCGATCTTTCTGGCCAGACTTCGAGATTTTATAGGAGATTTAATCATGGACAAAAAGTTCCCTATAAACATAGGTCGAAAAATGCTCCCTTAAAAGGTTATCGTCCAAAAACCTCTGAAATCACGATTATTTTATACATTTTTACAAATATCAAAGAAATATGTATTTTTCAACAAAAAATAACAAAAGTTGTACAGGAAAAAGTATCTGTCAAATGGATCAAAATGATTGCAATATGTTCCATAGGTTTTTAGATAACTATTTTGAAATGTATTACAAAAAAAGTATTTTCTTTCGGCTATCGATAATAGAGCTTTTTTAAATACTCTTCATATTTTATGCTGTTCTCACACAGCAGAGATGTCCAAAATATATCATAGGGATATCCTAAAGATATATTTGTGATATGCGATATCTTCTATGAAGATATCCCTATGATATGTTTAAGACATTCCTGCTGTGTAGGTTATAGCCTTTGTAATGTTTATCTTGCTTCCCAGACAGCACAAATGTTCAAAATCAAGTCATAAGATGTCTTTAGGACGTCTTTAAGACATCTTTAAGACAATACCTTATAAACTTGTCTTAAAGATGTTTTAAAGATGTTTTAAAGACATCTTATGACCCGATTTTGGACATTGTGCTGTCTGGGTTGTTGATTATTCCACTAAAACATGAAGAATATTTAAAAAAGCTCTGCGTCGATAGCCGAAAACTATATAAAAATCATATATAAAAAGAAATAATGCAATTTGACATGTTAAGGGGATGCTGAAGCTGAAAACTTTACCGACACGGCGTACATGTAAGAAAAACATTTCACGCGTATTCAATGCGTTGTTACCGAAATGTACGTACATCAAACGCGCATATCTCGTGCCATAAATCCGCGAAATTTTCCAGGGAGGCGTATGCATTTATTCAGCGAGCAAGGTCGGTTTTACACGCCATTACACGGCAGTAAATATCAGTGTTCTGCCATTACATGGCAGAACACTGACATTTTTCCGCAAAGTTTACGTCGTATTGGTTACAGAATTACAAATGCTTTTATGCAATGAAAGTACGTGCAAAGATAAATAGGAGCATTACTCGATATGTTACGAAAACAAGAAATTTTTAATTTAAAATCTCAAGCTGTTAGTGTAATATGTGCCTAATCCAAAAATTTCGCAGCTTGTACATGCCGAAAGTGTGGATGTTCCAAACAGAAAAATTTTGAAGAACATTGCTCTACCTTCGCATCTACATTTGGAAACTTAAAAATATCGAAAAAGTTTGCAGAAAAAAGTCTACACATATATGGTTAGGTTTTCCGTTGAATATGATAAAACAAAGCAACACTCATGTAAGTTCTGTATATACAAGAAATATGAAAAGAATAGCGTGATTATGTTAGTAACGATCGTCTCTGCGTTATCGACATTGTTCGAGTTCGTCATCGACTCCAGTATCTCCTTAAGGGGATGCTGAAGTAAATGACGAACTCGCTAAGCGTCGATAACGTAGAGGCGATCGTCAAATAGGTGCTGACATAATGCCGCTATTTTCTTTTTTCATGTATACATAATTTCTACATATAGATATATGAATGCAAGTGTGTGTACTACGTTGTCATTTCAATTTTCTTACACATAGGCGTTATGTAAATGTGAATGTCACGTTGCCAATATTCGCATTCTCTCCGAAAAAGGCTTTCGCTGCTTTTCTGATGAATTCTTCAAACCGCCTGTGTATTGGGTGAATCAAAGAAAGAGTTTTTTTAGAGAAGTTCTACGCATAAATGCAGTTTACGAATATTGTTTTGAAGAATATGTTATCTAATATGTGAGCTTTCTATATAATTTGCAATGGAAATTTTAGATATTATTTTAGTTATGCACTGAGCAATATTTCACTATATTTTTGCACATAATTTTATCTTATAAATTGGAGTAGTAAGTGCGCTGTAATTTTTACAAAAGGAAATCAGTGTCACGATGGCAAAAGTTCCACATCGTTTCTGAGTGAAAAATGATCTACTTCATTTTTGCATGTATTTTCACCATTTTAATTCGGTCAAGTCAATACAAAGTAATATTTGTAGGAAAATCTCGTTGACGTGATATTGACATCCTTGCAAAACTTTCGTCGTGCTGATTGTACTAAATCAAAAACCTTTTGACATGGTGAAAGTACGTGCAATAAAGCGGAATATTCTTCAATATGAGAGGAAAACGATAAGAAAATGCTATCATAACAAATTACCGAATTCTTCTGCAAAGATTATTTCTTTCTATATGCGCTGAATTAAAAATCCTTTTACATTATGAAAGTATGTACGTAAATGAAGCGGAGCGTTCCTCAATATGAGAGGAAAACGATAAGGAATGATTACTATCTAAAAATCTATGTGGTTATTTGCAAAATGGTAGAGGTCTTTTTTGTTCAGTTTGACTTAATGTA